TTCAACTTCATCATCAGCATCACCATCGTCGTCATGATCTTCACCATCATGATCACTCATAACCACGATCATGCAAACCATCATCAATATGACCATCACTATCCTGATCATTCTCACCACGGCTGCTTCAGACATGGGGCCACGAGGTGTTACACGTGACGGCCTCCTGTGCCCTATCGAACAGCCTCCACCCAGAATGTCTTGCTGGCACGGTGGCGGAACTTGCAGACAGTCCCATGGGGACCCCAACTATGCCCGCTGCGCAACTGTCAACTGTGTTCGTGATCTCCCGGCAGGTCCAGCGGAGTGCGGTCCTGGTCGCACCTCAATAATATTGCCTCCTCTCTGCGCGCTTGCTCGCACTCTGCTCCTTCCCCCTTATCGTAGGGAAGTGCCCTTCAGCAGTTGCACAGAGCTGGCGCGTAGGCATGCACACGTGCGCCTGCACATGTAAGTACCCCGCGCGCTCGGTTACGCACGCAACTGGTAGACAGTGGGTAAGAACACACATTAGGTTGCAGCAGACACACACGTGGTGGTCATGACATTTGAGATACGCGTAGGCCACCTTTTAAAATGCTGAAAGCTGGTGTGCCTATCCACGCGAGAAGCGAACGCTGGAAAAAAACACGCGGCAACATGTGTGCCCAGCTTCGGCTCAGGCTGGCAACGTCATGTGTTGTGGGTCTCTGGCTCCCTGGCAGAACCAGCTCGCTGAAGAGAAGCAGAATCAAGCATTTTCATACGATGTCTTGATCTGTTTGCCTTCCCTGCCCGTACCCACGTTCCCGGCAACGGCGGGAGCCTGGGAGGGTGGAGAAACAGAAGGGAAGGGGGAGCGAGTGAAAGGAAGAGGAGAAGGAGGCGGGGGAGTGAAGCAGAAGTAGGCCGTCTGGGAGGTTCTGAGCCTCGGCATGGACGAGGGAGGGAGAATGAGGAACGAAGGAGAGAGAGGCGGCCTATGGCAGGAGCATGGAGGGCTAAAGCAGGCCGTCTGAGGAAAGGGAAAGGATATGGAGGACGGAGGAGGCAGGAAAAGACAGGAGGGAAAAGAGGGAAGGGGGCAGGGGGAAGGAGAAGGAAGGATGGAAGATGAGGAGGGGAAGGAAGCTGGGGTGAGCCTACTGGGACTCGACGCGCCCTAATTAGCAGGACATTTCGAGGCCCGCTTCAGAGACGGAACCTCTCAACAGACCAGGCAAGCGCAATGCAAACTCACGTGTCGTTGTCCGCTCTCCTCCTCCCTCCTCCCCTCTCCCTCGCCCCCATCCCTCCCCATCGTGCCCTCTCCTCCGCACATCGCTTTCCCCTCCCGCTCCCCTGGCTCCTTCTCCCCTGTCCTCGCTGGCCTCTCCTGGGAGGGAGGCGTCGGAGCTCGGAGACCCGGGTGGAGGACCAGGCCCGCCCGAGAGCTCGAGAAGACCACCCCCTCCCAGAAGAGCAGCCTGATCCGATCCCGAGCGTGGGGTCGCTCTCGGATGCTGGGCTGCTCCTCATGCCCCACCCCTTTGCCTCTCTTTGTGTCGCACCTGGCACCGTCGATCGCTGCCCTCCTCTCGCTGCTCCGTCATGCCCTCATCCTGCCCTCGTCCCCATCCTCACGTCCCTCCTCCCTCCTCCTCCTCCTCGTCGAAGGCGACTTCTCCTCCATACCCATATTCCCAGTTCGCTGTCCGCGGCCCTCCGCCCTCCTCGTCTTCATCCTCGTCGTCCATCCTCCCCTACAACCCCCTGGCTGCGACGCTCCCGTCAAATTAGAAGCACGCGCGACCGCGTTGTAGGGGCTGGTCATCTTGCGCGCGTCGCACTCGCAGCGACGCCAACATCTGCCGGTGGACCGCTCGAACAAAGCGCACCCTGGCAGGCGTCGGAAACTATAAGGGAAGGAGAGGCTTACAAGGGAGAGGAACATCGCAGTTGAGACATTCAGTGGAGAGACGCGAAAGGCAATGGACAGGGGGACGAGTCGCCTATAGATTGGGTAGAATATAGTGTTTTATATATAAACATATATATATATATATAAGCATACATGTATTTATTGTACAGGTGTAAACGTGTGTATGGATGGATGTGCACATATATATATATATAGACGAAAGTCCTTTAGAGGACGCAGCTGAGGCGAAATTCGCTAGATGCAACTTACGAATTCTTATGGACCCCGAGAGCCCTCCCGAGGCCACTCCCGCCAGAACCCCCAGGGAACTCCTAGGAAACCTTCGGGGATATTGAGCGCCGTCGTGCGTCGTCTTCATCCGTCTCCCTCTCCTTCTCCTCCAGCGTTCTTCTCCTCTTCTCCCCCCGATACCCTTCTTCTTCACTCGTACTAGTCCCTGCTAGGCCACACAACCGCCAACTAACAAACGTAACAACAAAAACAAAGACGCCGCTCCTCCTTTCAACATGGACACTTTGCCGTCGACACTGCCAGATATGTGGCGGGAGTGCGACGGGGCGCACAATCGGGGTGCAAGGACGCAACGTCGCTCTCGCTCCGGCACCGCTGCCACGTTCCCCATGGCTGTATGTCCCGATGGGACGCGGCGCACACTTGGCGTTCGCAAAACCGTCGACGCGCGAGCAACAGGGATACGCCGCCCTCGCCCCGGCGCCGCACGGATGTCGCATGTAAGAGACACTCCCGCCCTCGGCACGGCAGACGGTTCACTCGCCAAGCCGTTGCGTGCGGGGCCGCCTCCGAGCGGGCGTGCTTTGTCGCCCTCGTCCAGGCTGCCTGCAACTCTTTGCCTGGAAGTGTCGCTCCCGCTTGGGCACGGTTCATGTTCCGCTCGCCAGATCGCATGACAGCGGCCTCGGCCGTGGGGCAAACAATGCGGTCTTCGCCCAAGCGCCGCGCAGCTTGTGTGTGAAAGTGACAGTGCTGCTCCGGCGTGGCGCATGCTTCGTTTACGCCGCGCTCCTCGGGAATTTGGCCGCCCAACAGAAGGCTAAATTGTGCTCTCTGTCTCTCTCCGCAGCGCCGTGCAATGGGCATCCAAAATTCCGCTCTCGCCAATTCGCGGCCAGCGTTTGTTTCCCCTCGCCAAGTCGTCGGAAACGGGACCGCGGGCGAGCGCCAGTCCTAGTACCAAGTTCTGCCACAATGGATGATTCGGGCATGGGAGGGAGGGGGGACTTGTGAGGCCCGCTGACTTGCTCGACCTGGACTAGCTTGGCGCCCCCTCGAACTCCTGCTTCGCGTTCCTGGTTTTCCTGGTTACTGATAAAGACCGGCAATACAAGTCAACACTGGTGCCCACATTCCGCTCTGATAGGGGCCACAAGCGGGAGGGCAATTCACACAACCGAGCTGTCCTCTCAACATTGACGTTTTGCCGTCGAGCCCAGGTTACCGCACTCGAAGCAGACATGGGTCGCGGCACACACAGCGTGCAAGAGAGAGAGAGAGAGAGTGAGCGAGAGACAGAGAAACAGAAACAGAAAGAGAGAGAGAGAGAGAAGCATTCAAAACAACAGAGAGAGAGAGAGAGAACTAACGACGAGATGCCTCGTATAAGCATGTTTTGGCTGCCGCGTGGCACCTCGTGGACCTGCCTGTTCAAAAAGCTGCGCTCCCGCTCGTGCGCGATGCACGGTATCGATGTTCCCTCCAGTGCCCGCCGAGATGACGAGGCATCACGGCGAGAGCACGAACACCTCAGCGTGCAAGACAAATTCAAGTTTAACCCCCCACGCACTTCGTGGATGAGTGTCGCCCACAGGAGACGGCGAATGAATCTACGCCGGGAGGGGCTGAACGGGCTCCGAATGCCGCATCATGTTTGTAGAATATTTGCCGGGATCGGTGATTGCACACGCGCGTTTGTTATTTCCTCCTCCATGCGCCTCCTCCTCGCCCCTGTTTCCATCCTGCGCTGAGGTCTCCTTTTGAGTCAAAGAGCAGCTGTCGGCTCCGTTCTTGTCGCCCGCCTCCCCCCTCTCCCTCCTCCCGCATCCAACCTCGCCGTTCCTGGTGGCTGCGAACTGCGACCTGCGAAACTGTCGCCACTTTCATGGGCTCCTGGGGGGTCCACCGCAGCGCAGTGGCACGGTGATTGGAATCAGACCTCGCAGTTCCTGCCTGGAGGCTGAGACAACTGCAACACTGTCGTATTTGTTGTGAGCTCTTCGGGGTCCAGCGACTGCGAAACCGTCGTTGGCTTCTGGGGGGTCCATCGAAGTGTGGTGCTACGCTGATCAGAACTAGACCTTGCCGTCCCTGGGGCCTGCGAACTGCGAAACAATCGCCACAACCGAGGGCTCCTGTGGGGGGGCAGCGTAGCGCTGTGCTGCGCGGATAAGGATGATACCTCGCCGTTCCTGGTGGCTGCGAACTGAGAAACTGTCGCAGTTTCATGGGCTCCTGGGGGGTCCAGCTTGGTACGGTGCCCTGCGGATGAGAACGTCGCCGTTCCCGGGGGCTGTGAGCTGCGAAGCTGTCGTTGCTTTCGTTGGCTCCTGAGGGGCCTGGCACACTGCGACGCCACGCGCGGATCCGAGTTAGACCTCGCCGTCCCTGGGTGCTGCGGGTTGCGAGAAGGTCGTGATTTTCGTTGGATCCTGGCGGGTCCAGCGTAGTGCGCGGCTACGCTGATCAGAAGCAAACCTCGCCGTCCCTGTGGCCTGCGAACTGCGATACTGTCACCGTTCTCGTTGGTTCCTGGGGGCTTCAGCGTACTGCGGTGCGAACCTCGCTGTCCCTGGCAGGCTGCGAACTGCGACGCTGCCGGCACTTTCGTGGGCTCTTGGGGGGTGTAGCGTAGTCCGGTGCCACGCCGATGAGAAATAGATCGCGCCGTCCCTGGCGGGGCTGCCGACTGCGAAGCCGTGTCCACTTTCGTTGACTCTTGGGGGCTCCAGCGTAGTGCGGTGCTACGCGGGTCTAAATCAAACCCTCGCCGCGTTCGTGCCCGCCCCGTGGGGGCTGCGAACTGCGAGACTGGCGTTCCTTCCGCTGGTCCTTTGGGGGTCCAGCGTCGTGAGGTGCTCTGCGGAACAGAATCAAGCCTCGCCGCTACTGGCGGCTGCGAACTGCGACGCTGTCGCCATTTGGTAGGCTCCCGTGAGGCCCAGCGGGGTGACGTCCTACGCAAACCTGCATTGAATCTCGCTGTCCCTGGGGGTGGGGCGAGTGCGAAGACGTCGCCACGTTCGTGGGCTCCTGGGAAGCCCAGCGGATTAATGTTCTGCGCGGGTCAGAATGAGAGACCTTGCCGTCCGTGGGGGGGCGGACTGCGAAACCGTCGCCACGCTCCAAGGATCATGTCATGGGAGGTCCAACGGAAATCGCCGTCCCTGTGGGCTGCGAGCTGCGAAACCGTTGCCACTGTTGTGGGCTCCTGAGGGGCACAGCGGAGTGACGTCATACCCAGATCAGAATTCGACATCGCCCTCCCTGGGTGCTGCGAGCTGCAGAAAGGCCGCCACCTTCGTGGTCTCCTGGGAGGCCTAGCGGCGTGGTCCCCATGGGAGGCCCAGGGCTATAGTTTCTTTTCCGCGGCAGCCTGCGGAGCTGGTGGCGCGCCTGCGGACTTCTAACGCTCTTGTCGAATGGTGGAGCAAAAATCCGAGGGACTGGCAAACAATCTGGGTCCACATAAATACGGTAGAGGGAAACAATTACTGAACACTCCCCCTCCCCCCCAAACTCAACGTTGACACGCGCGGGAGGGACTGCGGTCGAAGTGCATCTCACCAGACCCACCGCCAACTTCGAACATTGGGGGGAGGGGGAGGCGTTGACGGATGAATGTGGCATGTGTTCGCTAATTGTTTCCGAAGCCTGTGGGTGCGTTGCCCGGCACGTGGTTGCCCTCGAACTGATTGGGGCGCAAAAATACAGGAAGAGGTACACGGGGGAATGTCCGAGTGGGGGACCAGGGAGGAGTCATCTCAATCACTACGAAAATCAAACCGTCAACCGTGGACTTACCCCGGACTGAATCAGGCAGGGGTAAGTCGAGCTTGACACTTCGCTTTTCGACTTTTACGACGGACCACGGCGGCGGCCGACTGACAGCGACGGCGACGCCCGGGCGCCAAGCAAGAAACGGCCAAAGCGGCTGCATGTTGTTATGTCTAGCGCCTCACCAACGACCCCGGGCCCCCTTCGCGCATCCCAATCTATTTTTCACGTATTACTCGCATCACTCGTCCCATCACTCCATATTTTTTCACATATTACTCGTATCTTCTTGAACTATTTTCTTTTTCTTACGAGTGATACGAGTAATGTGCAAAAAAGGAGGAGTGATGGGACGAGTGATACGAGTGATACGTGAAAAATAAGGCGCGGGACGACTCGGGCGCCAGAACACTGGAAAACATGATATACACACATACATGTGTATGTATGTTTGTATGTTTGTATGTATGTATGTATGTATGTATGGATGTACGTACGTACATATATGCGTAAATATACACATCTGTGTATATATATATATATATTTATATACGTAGATGTGCATGTGTATATATATATATATATATATATCATCGTGGTTCCGCAGAAATCCTCACCCGCAGAATCGCTCGGCAAACTCGGGACGACTTGGCTGCCAGAACATTGGAAAACAAGTGATGCACACACATATATATATATATGCACATGTATGTATAAAAATATTTGTATGTGTGTATGTACACACACCTATACTCATATACATATATATATACACATGGTACCCCATATGCACATGTATATGTATAAATGTAAATATAAAAATATCAGAGTATTGCAGAAATTCTCACCCGCAGAATATCTCGGCCAACTCGCAAATGACGGGGTAAACTTAAAAATGAGACGGTAGAGGGAAACAATTACTGAACACTCCCCCTCCCCCCCAAACTCAATGTTGGCACGCGCGGGAGGGACTGCGGTCGAAGTGCATCTCACCAGACCCACCGCCAACTTCGAACATTGGGGGGAGGGGGAGGCGTTGACGGATGAATGTGGCATGTGTTCGCTAATTGTTTCCGAGGCCTGTATGACTGAGCGCTGAGGGCGCCAGGGTGAACCTCACCATCGCATCGCATCCCATCATCCTGCTGGCCCTCATCTTCGCACCTCATCTTGCTGGTCCACGATCCTCCTCGCCGTCGACGTGTTCCCCCTCCTCCGGCTGTCCTTCTGGCCCTCTTCTTGCTATCCATCCTACCTCTCCTCGTCCTTCCTCACTCCTTCCGCCTCCCCCCCCGATCTCTCTCCTCCCTCCCATGACATCCAGGCTCTCGCCCATCTCCTCTCGACTCCTACTCTCGAAATTTCTTCTACCTTCGTCCTTCATTCCCGAATTTCCCTATTTCCCCTTCAACTCCTGCCATATCCTATGCCTGCTTCCGCGTCGCTGCCACACTCTCTTCCCTTCTCACTATAAATTCCTGAATCCTTCCGCATCCATCCTTCTCGTTGTCATCGGCGTCCTTCCGTGTTCCTTACATCGGCACATTGTGATGTTCTGCCTCTCTCAAGCTTGCCCCATGAGTCGAGCCACGTGCGAAATTTGCCCCAATGCGTTGGTCCCTTACTGCAAGTGGGTTGGGTACGTCGCAGGGTACTTGTCTCCTCTTCCGCATCTCCACTTTTGCATCCTCTGCAGCGCGCGATGGACACCCACTCCCTCGAGTTGCCTATCCGTCCCTTTTTTCCTCTCCTCCTCATCCTCCCAATGCTCTTCCGACCATCCTCCTCCTCCTCCTCTTCCTCCTCCTCCTCCTCCTCCTCCTCCTCCTCATCATCATCATCATCATCATCATCAGCATCATCATCATCATCATCTTCATCATCACCATAACCATCGTCGTAACCGTCATCAGCATCATCAACATCACCATCATCATCACCATCATCATCATCGTCACCATCACCATCAGCATCGTCACCATCATCGTCAACATCATCACCATCATCATAACCCTCATCGTCATCATCATAATCCTCGTCATCATCATCCGACATCGTCGTCGTCGTCACTGTCGTCGTCGCCGTCATCGTCATCGTCATAATCATCATTATCGTCATACCATCACCATCACCATCATCATCAGCAGCAGCAGGACCACCATCATGAACATCATCAGCATCATCAGCATCATCATCATCGTCGTCGTCATCATCATCATCACCACCATCACGAACATAATCATCCTCATCATCCTCATCATCGTCATCATCACCACCATCATCACAACCATCACCATCATCACCATCATCCTCATCATCATCAGCAGCATCATCAGCATCATCCCCCTCCTTTCATCCTGTTGCCGCAATGCCCATCGCTCCTCCACAAGCGAGCGCTGGCCCCAGACTCGCCGCGACGGCGCCCGTCCCTGGGCCGCAGACGAAGGCCGCGGAGCGAAGCAGAGGAGGCATCCAAAACGGCGCGCCGCACATGGGGTACGCGGTGCACCGCTGCATGCACTCCTCCTCCGAGCCGAACGTGGTGTTGTCGATGCCGTCGATCTCGACAGCCCCGAAGCCCTCGCACGCGACGAGGGGGCGGAGGACAGGAGGGGGGGGGAGAGCGAAGGTGAGGGGAGGGAGGGGACGAGGAGCTCGCAGAGGGGCGAAGGAGACAATGGGCTGGCAGGAAACTGGGTGCGATCGCCCCGCATTCACATCCTCCTCATCCATCCTGTCCCCTCCCACTGCACTTGATGATGGCCTCTTCACCGAATATGGGGTCAGTGTCGAATCGGAAGGCGTGTACGGTGCCTGGCCCGTCGCTCAGGTGGACGGGGCCAGGCGGTACCTGAAAGCGCTGAGGGAGCTCGGGCGACGCATTGGTGGAGGGAGTCGAAGAGACAACGCGAGCAGTCGGGCCGCGTCTTGTTCGAAACGAAAGCGCGGATCGTAGGTTTCCCCTTCGACACAGAGCAGAAGGAGCTGGGATTAGTGTTTTTTCTTGGATCTGAGCTGGACCACCCTCCCGAGCGCGCGGAGCGCGCCAGGGGCGGCGCCGGAGGCGCCGCCAAGAGGACCCAGCGCAGCTCCAAGACATCCGCGCGGAGCTCCAAAAGTTTGTCTTTATGCTGTGTTTTCATCTCCTTGAAGGCGAGTGCGAGGCTGAAGGGGCCCAGGGACACAGAACTAAATAGACACGTCCAAGGATTCCCAACATGCTCCGTTTGTTCTTGACTGTCGTCTCCCCCTCCAATCCCCACATCTTTCACATGTTCCTGGGCACCCGCGTTTCTTGATGTCTGTGTTTTGTTCCCTCGTGATTTTCCTCTTCGAGACGAGGACGAGGCGACGGGGGGGGAAGCGAGGACGACGACGACGAGGCCCAGGCAGCCGGGAGGCCTCGTACGCGTTCTTGTCGTGGAGCTCGACAGCCGCCGCCCCGCTGGCGGGGGCCCCGAGGGGGGGCAGAGGAAGGCCCAGGCCAGCGCCGGCCGCGGCGGGCTCGGCGGGCTAGGGCAACGGCCTCCTCCTGCTCCCCCTCCTCCTCCTCCTCCTCCTCCTCCTCCTCCTCCTCCTCCTGCTCCTCCTCCTCCTCGTGCTCCTCCTGCTCCTACTCCTCCTCCTCCTCCTCCTCCTCCTCCTCCTCCTCCTCCTCCTTCTCCTCCTCCTCCTGCTCCTCCTCCTGCTCCTCCTCCACCTCCTCCCTCTCCTACCTATGGTAGTGGTGGTGGAAGATGGGCCCATCAACTCGGAAGCTGGGCGAAGGCTGGCAAATCCCTGGCTGCGAAAACGGTCTTTCTGGAAGGAAAACAAATCCCTGGAGTAAAACTCAGCGCGCTAAATAAAGGACAGGCTGCTCCCCGGAAAGAAAAAACAACTTCCCGGAGCTCCGTTTTAACAGCCACGGGTTTGCCAGCCTTCGCCTAGCTTCTGACGACGCGATGAGGGCGTCGGATAAGGAACCATTGGATAATCGGGCGGGTGGTCATGGGGGGTCCTTTGAAGCCAGCAGGGGCCCAAAAGGGGCCCTTCGGGGCCCTTCTCTTCACCCCCCAGTGAGGTCACCCCCCATTACAGGCTGCCCGAGGCTCGGCGGACCGGGCACGGGCCCGGCTTCGAAGGCGGCGACGATGCGGTAAGGGCCTCGGATATAAGGAACCACTGGATAAGGAATCGAGGGCCTGGAAGCCGGTGCAACTCCGATCGTGGATTGGCCATGGATATCGCCGCCGCCCTCATTAGATAAGGAATCCTTCAAGGCCTGAAACCTCCTGGGCACATTCGGGCACAGTCCTGATCCAACGCCCCTTCTGTTGCATCCTCGGGGGACCTTGTCTGTCCCGTCGCGGCGGCATCCGCGTCGAAGCCGTGCCGAACCCGTGTCGGCGCGGGCGGTAAACCAGACCACACCATGCGACATACATGCGTCGAGCGAACCTCCTCCTCCTCTTCCTCCTCCTCCTCCTCTTACTCCTAATCCTACTCCTGACCCTACTCCTACTCCACCTCCTACTCCTACTCCTTCCTATTCCACGTTTCCTGCTGTCATTCCGCCTACCTCCTCTGGCTCCCTCCTCCTGCTCCCTTTTGAAATCCTCACCCTCCCCTCTCCTCCTCCCTCCTCTCTCCTCCCTCCTCGCCCCTCCTTCCTCCTCCTCCTCCTCCTCCTCCTTGTCCTCCTCCTCCTCTTCCCTCCTGCTCCTGCTCCTCCTGCTCCTCCTCCTCCTCTTCCTGTTCCTCCTCCTGACCCTCCTCCTCCTCCTCCTCCTCCTCCTCGCTACTCTTCCGCCTCTTCGCTCCTCGCCCCTCCCTCCTC